GGCATCTAAGGGGCTGCGTCAAGGTAATCCATTATCCCCACTTCTTTTTATCGTTGTGATGGAAGCCTTCAGTAGGCCTCTGGACAGAGCTAGTGATCTCAATCTGTTTAAAGGCATTTCTGTGGGCAGGGGGGAGGTAGAGGTGTCGGTCTCTCATTTATTTTTTGCTGATGATGCCCTCATCCTTTGCAAACCTGATCTATCTTCCATGTTGCATTTGAGATGCATTTTGTTATGTTTTCAATTGGTCTCTGGATTGAGAATAAATATGAGAAAATATGAACTGATTAGAATTTGGGATAGAAGTGATGAAAAAACACTGGTTGGGGTCTTGGGGTGAGTAATAGTTTTGCCTATCAGGTATTTGGGACTTCCCCTTGGTGCTAAATACAAGGATGTGAACACTTGGAATCCTGTTTTGGAGCTGTTTGAGAGGAAATTAGCGGGGTGGAAAAGAAATTTCCTATCCAAAAGGGGCAAGACTCACGCTTACCAAAAGCACTTGGTGAATTTGCCGACATATTATCTCTTGGTGCTGACCATACCAGCCAACATCACTACAAAAATCTAAAAAATTCAATATCGGTTTTTGTGGGGAGATGAGGAAAAGAGGAGATATTATTTGGTGAAGTGGGGGGAAGTGAAAAACCTAGTTGGGAAGGGGGCCTTGGCTTAATATTGATCGGGGATATGAATTCTGCTCCGCACGGGAAATGGTTGTGGAGGTTTACTAAACAGGAGGGCAAGCTGTGGAAGAGAGTATTGGAGGCTAGGTGGCGGAAGCTATGAAAGGCTCTTTTAGACCTCACCCATTGAGCTTGTGGAATAAGATCTGTGGGGGCTACAATACTTTTGCACAATGCCTTATATGGAAACTGGGTACTGGCGCTTAGATCAGATTTTGGCACGGATGTATGGATGGGTGATACTAAACTGATGGATTGTTTTGTCTATTTTTGCAATAGCACATGATAAAGACATCCATGTGGACAAAATTAATTTATGTGGGTTCTAGCGAGGGTGGGGACTGGAGCGTGCAGGTGTGCAGTAATTTACAAGACTGGGAGGTGGAGGAATATTGTAACCTATTGAGCTTACTATCTGGGATCAGTATGGGAACTCAGAAGGATGATAGACTATGGAACTTGAACAAGGACGGAATTTTCTCAGTGAAATCATTTTACAATTTTTTTAACTAGCAGAGAGGCAGGGGAAGACGCCAGAATTCTGTATAAGCAAATTTGGAGATCGAATGCTCCACCTATAGTGGCTTTTTTTCATGGGAAGCTGGTAGGAAATGCATTTTAACAATTGATATGCTGAGGAGAAGGGGTGACATTATGGTTAATAGATTTTTTTTTGTGTAAAAACGGTGAAGAGTCTTGTAATCATATTCTGTTGTGGTGTCCTACTGTTTATAGCATTTGGCCCATGATTTATGGTTTAATGGGTTTCAACTGGGTCATGACTGGGAATGTGAGGGAGAAATAGTGGGCTTGGGCTGGTGTGTGTAAAAAGAAAAAATTGTTACAGTTAACTCCACTATCTATCTTTTGGGTGGTTTGGAAGAATGGAAATTTAAGGGCTTTTAAGGGTATTGAGAAAGATTTTGTTAGTATTGGGGATACTTGGCTTTATACTTTTGGCTATATGATTTTGGGTCATGATGTTAAGGAGCTTGATGATTTTGGAATTGTATTGACACATTTGATTGACATGTAATTATCTTATACACGGGAGTACCCCATTGGTACAATGTTAATAATACTTTACTAATTTTTATTTCAAAAAAAAAGTCCCAAGAGTCTTCAGCAAAACAGAACTAAGCCCGTCCAATCAATGACTCACTCTTGCACAATATGGGCTAGAGAGACTTTCACATGAAGGCCCATTGTTGGATAAACTGTAATTCCAGTAACTCACACTATCTGCGGTAGACATGAATTTACTAACTGCATCATGTTTATCTACTAGAAAATAAGAAAAGATCATGAAAGTCCTTTCTAGACCAAATATCTTTACAACATGCATTTTGACAGAGAAGCATTTCCTGAAGACATTCCATCTTGAATAAATAAAAATAATAAAATCAACCCAGCTCATGCTGATAATCTTCTATAATCCAAAACCAGGAGTTATATGCACGTCAGTAGGATCCACCTAACTCTTCTTTACCAATATGCAATAGCTACCACTATCCTCCACAGATGAAAACCAGTTACTTCCTTTTATAACTAATATTAAAATCCAAACTAAGGCCACTCATCTGAACAAGCAACAGATAGGAACCATAAACAATTTGCTAGTGAAAGAAGAGGAAATATATATATATATAAGTAATCACAAATGAAATAAGAGAAATGTTCTCACACAAGAAAATAAAAAGACAAATGTTAACTCATACCTCTCTTTTGAAAGTTTATAAAAATTGGAAATGTGGGCCCATAATGTCTTTTCAAAGGTCTCCCAAGTTCTATCAACATCTTCAAAATATTCTCTGGTTTCCAGTGGGAAAAAGTCATTACAAATAAAAATGCTTTTATGTATCATCCAGTGGAGACTATTGGATTGAAGAAAAATCTTAAGTACACTCAGCAAACAAAAAAAAACATCTGAAATAGTGTTCTAGCTAACTGAAAAAGATGCAGATACCAAGCTAATTTTCTTTCCTCTCTTCTAGCATCTGTTATCATACTGGGAAATAACCCTCCAACCATCCTAAAGAAAAAAGAAAAAGCCAATGAAAGAAATGTCCACATTAATTTGAGAAAAAGTACTGACCTTAGTCTGCCAACCTCTTCTTTGTGAGATGCAGCTGCTGCTAAAGCAAACCTCCGCTTCCCATCAAGTGCTGTTAACCTCTATGAAAAAGTAGAAATGGAAAAAGAAGTAGTTAAGCATGAGTTATATGAAATTCGCAAAAGCCACATTTAAAAATAATAGTAGGGAAACATTTTCACCTCATAAGTGTTTACAATTTCTTTATCATCACTCAAAGAATCTCGTGCCTCAGCAGCTTCAACAGAAATGGACATCATACCTTCAACATCCTATAAAAGGGCAACACGTGATATAGACAGCAACAATACAGAAAACAAGGACAAAATGCAGCAAAATGGTGAAGATGTACAACTCATAAAAGAGTGTTTTCCAGATGGGAACTTGCATTTTCATGCGGGCTAGCAGGTATAGTAATTCCTATCTGATTATTTTTTTAGAAAGCCAAGATTGGTGATGGCCAACAAGTGAAGTCACCTACCTTCAGGGTTGTGTTTAAGTTATTTCTGGCATTGCTAAGAAGCTTTATCTGGTCATGATTTTCAATCAACGTTTGGCATTCTTGACAGAGTCTGATTTCATAAGAAGGTTATATTAGCCAAGGGAAACATGTAAATAGTTAAATAGTTCACACCATATATCAGCCATATCTCATAAAGAACATACTTCTCAATTGAAATGAAATTCTCACGAAGCTGATTTATTGTCTTTTGAGATAGGGAAAGTGATTCTAGCCCAGCTTGAGCTTGTTCAACCTGAAGTATGCAGTATTCTTTGAAAATAAGATATTGACAAGAAAATCTACAAGAGAGTAATAAGATTAATCTTTTTGTCTGTTGCTCTTCTACTTTTTCAGATTCTTTCAATTTTTCAAAGGTGGAGATATAAATTTTACCTGCTCTGCAACCATTGTGCTAAGTTGAGCATCATTTGCCTGAACCAAGAGCAGTCTCAAAAAGATCAATAACTAAATGCCAAATTACACCAAAAAAACCAAACTTCCTGGTATACCACTCAAATCTTAAAGTATATTCTCCTCTGCTATACAAATTAGCTTTTATAGAACCTTTCTGAATATATACTTAGTTCAATCATAACAGGATAAAAAATATTCTAAATCAGTTCCATTTAAAACTGAAACAATAAGTTTTAATTCCACAAAAATGGATAAAATTTGAAATGTATCATTTCAACTTTCAATTGGCGTAGGTTGTGTTTGGTTTAATACTCATGTAATTATTAAAGCATTCCTATTTCTAATTCCCATCTTAACCTCATTTTGTCTAATTAGAACATAATTTGTGGTGTTATCTCCATTTTGCATTCTTAACTGTGAAAATTTAACTCTCCCTTCATATGTAGGAATTTAATTCCCACCATCAAGAAATTCAATGTGGGTTGATGGTAAACTATTCACAACTAATTATCTTCTAGTTATGCATAATATGACTAATATGAAAATTAAACTAGGGATTCGCTGTGAATTGATTGGGATCTGAACCCAGTGAACTGTTAATAGTTGAATTTTTATTATCTTGAAATTGAATTTTCATCTTTTCATGATTGAAACAAGTACATACCTTTACATGAATTCTACAAAATTGTCCATTTCACTGATACATGCCTAAAATCGGAATTCATTTACAATAATCTACATTTTTCCAGTGGAACCTACGCAATCATCCTCTTATACCCTTTGATGGAGATATAATTCTCATGTCTTAACTATCAATAATTAAAATTTAGAGTAACCAGCCAACAATATACTTTTATGGCTAACAAATTCAACATTGAGTTCCGCCTATTTTGGCCTACAAAGTCTTATAGATAAAATCACCTAAAATTTCAGATGGATAGTACAATGAGCCAGGGAATTGAATCCGTTTACTGACATAATACTGAAATATGTATAACTACCGCGCATTATTTTCCAAGGGCAACAATTAAATAATCCAAATATTCGACATAAAGACCGAAATTTCAATATTCAACACAGAACTAAAAAACATTCTGATATTCAAGAGGAAACTGAAATTTAAAATTGACTAGTCGGCACCTGTTGTCGAGTAATGTAATCAGCCTTGATCGATGAAATAGACTGCAAAAGTTCAGGAAGCGGCAGTAGCTTCGCGACCTCGCGGACAGCTGCTTCCTTCGCTTCCACGCCTAGATCCTCTACCATCATCTTTGCTGACAACAATACCTTCTTGCAAAATAATATCAAATTTGGAGGAATTTATACTGGTTGATTCAGCATATGACGCGGAATTCAAAGCAAGATACGGTGAAATCGGCGTCTGCTAGGAAAGCCAACGTGAAGCAAATGGAAGGAACTAAAAAGAAACCGATGCCCTAGAGAGAAATTTAAGATTGAACAATGTACTATATGTCTACAAGGAGATCTGCATTCTCTACAGAGCAATATGGTAAATACCCAGAAAATGGTTGTACGGTTTTTGTTTGTGGGGATAAATATATAACAAGTCCTCATATTACTTTTGTTTGTTTATTTAATTCTTTATATTATTATTTTGTTTATTTAAATACCTAATTCTTTTAAAATACATTAAAAATGTCTATATTGTTAAATATTATTTTAATTTTTGATGAGAAATTGTCAAGTATTATTGACGTAGTATCTAAATGGACGAGAGCCAAAAAAATTTAACCTGACATCAACGTAGATGTCATGTTGGACGAATGTATTTTTACACTTTTTTCCTTTTTTTTTTTCCTAATTTCTTCTCCTCCTTCCTTCCGTGCAAGGTCACCATATTTCAAAAAAATTTAAATTTATTCATAAAGCTGGTTTTATAGAAAGTTTAAAGTGGGTTTTAAAATTCTATTAATATAGAAAGTAAATGTATAACTAAGGAAAATAATTTGTAGAGCAAAAAATAGTTACCGTGTGGTATATATGAGGAAAGAAGAACAAATGGCACTGCAAAATATCAAAAGTAAAAAATTTAATGA